GGAAACTGAAATCATTATCGATGTCTCGAGGTGCAGCACCAATGAATGCATGCGATAAGGAAGCTTGATAAGTTGATCGAGTAGAGAAGTCAGCTAATTTATTGGTGTCGAGCGTATGGAGCTTTCGTTTTGAGGAGCCACCGCAGCGCATGCAGATGTCCGCGCAGACCAACGTATGATCTGAATCGAGGTACGTAGACTAGATCGCTCTACAACGATGCATGCTACCACGCCATCTAAAGCTGATTGCAATGTGATCTATTTTTGACCACGCTAGCGTTGGTAAAGGAGGACGCCAGGTGGCTGCACATCTTCGGGTATGCCTAAAGTTCGTACTTGAGAGAAAGAGGCGATGGTCGTCGCATAACGTAGGAAGTCTATCACCATTGTCAGAACGGCTCTCATCAAGCGCGTGACTGCCACCAATTTGACGTTCGCACGGAAGCAGGCGACCTACTCGTGCATTGAGATCGCAGGCAAAGACGATGACAACTGACTTTTTGGTCTTCTGCAAAAAGTTGTGGAGATCATGCTAAAAGTCATCCTTAATCGATGCACAGCTACAGTCGGTTGGAGCGTAGGCAGGAATGACAAACAAATTGCGCCTCTCCTCAAGATGTCTGTTGATTCTACATGAGCGTACAAAGCCAAACCGCACACAGCCGGCTGTCGATTGGAAACCAGTCGGGTAATGCAGCCTCCGTTTGTTACTCAATGCGATACGGACACCAGCTAAGCCAGCTGTTGCTGCCTCCATGTCACTAGACAGACGTAGGTAATATGTGGTCTCAAGAGCAGCTGTGGACGACAAAATAACAACGGTGCTGGGCTCCAGCAATGGATTCTCTGAAAGGCAACAAACATCGATAGCGAAGAGCTCTAGAGTGCGCGCCAGGCCAGCCTGTTGTCCAATCTGTTGGAGGGCTCGAACATTGAACGCTGCCAGACGGAAAATGGCTGATGGTCAGATGATTTGGATATCAGCGAGACGGGCATTGGATGTAGATTTAACAGATTGTAGATTATCAATAAGAGGAAAGTTGGCGTGTGTTGGGGAATCACAAGTAGCAGCAGAATTAAGCGACGTAGCAGTAATTGCAAAATCCATGGTTTTCACACAGGGCACGATAGTAACCGGTTGCCCAAGCCGAAGTAGAGAGTTGTCTTAGGGGACTCCACCCTGAGTCTTTTGCTAAATAGTCTACTCGCAACGCAGCGGAGCGAATTCAGGGATTCCCACCCACTGGCAGCCGAGGATTGATTTCTCAGTTCATACGTCTTTCGTTTGGTGAGTAGCCAAACAAGGGCCCAATCTTCCCCACGATTTCAGCAGCAACGAGCTGGGATACAATGCTTCACCAAAGTGAAATAATGAGCAATGACCATTTAGGGGCGAGTCACATCCGCCACGTAGCAGTGTTGTTAAACGGACGCAGGTGGCTTTTTATAGAGGGAACGCTTGCCAGGCGAAAACCCACCACGTCCTGGAGCACTGCCGCTGAACCATTTGCTGGACCAAGATAATCCCGGACCACTTAGCTGGCACGACGAGGAGGTTGTTCGGCAGGCTAGCAACGAGAAAAATACAGTTTCTCCCATCAAGAGAATATTCTCTATATTATTACTACTATTATTAGTTATATTATTTTGTGCATCCATGATGTGAAATAAGACTCAATTTGATTGTGGGTGCGTTGAGTTCCCGAGTTTACCTAAAGTTTGTGCTAAAGCCTTTGTTTTCGGATTTGGGAAGTGGGGACCATGGTTTAACTATCTGTATCAGTTGTCCGTGCTATCAGCAGAAGCCCAACACACGTCAAATATCCGCAAGGCTCTTTGGCGCGTGACTGGGTCTAGCGGACATTGGTCCCGTCTTAAAAGATGGTGACCGAGCAGAATGCTACCATGAGAGTGACCTTGCGCTATAGTTGGGATACTTTGCCTGTTCGCGCATAATAAGCTCAGAGAATGCCTATTTTTGACCGCCGCTGCATTCGAGGCAATGCTGGGGCAGGATGAGACAACATTACGTTAATGACGAGGATGTCCGCCTAATGGTTTATAAGTTAGAGACCCTGCCGCTAGCTGAACTTAATAATTTCACTGCACAAGCTACGGTAGCCTGGGCACGTGCTTCGCATGCCATCTCAGTGTTAGCCTCGGTGAGGCAAAGGCGCGCGTAGGTCAGCTGGAAGCGAAAGCAATGTGGTCAACGAATGACTTGGGTCCCAAGTATGATGGCATTCGCATCAATTTTGGCCGTGGTCGGGTTTGGTCGACTCTCGGGCTGGGTTGCAAGGACTAGGAGCGCACCTGGCTGAAAACTTTCTCAGACATGGCTAGCTATCTAGTTCAGTGGCGGACATGTTCCTGCCGTAATGTGCGTAACTTCAGCTCTACAGTTCTTTTTTAACTGTCATCATCTATAGGTTTTAGTTGTCGTCAGCAGCCGCCGGAGTGGTTTGCGCGCCTAGCTTGCAATCATAAGGTTCAAATCCGCGTATGTACGGGGCGTCCTTGCTGTATACTCAGCCCACGCGTGACTGGTGGCGGTCGTACGGCAGCGAAGCGCCGTTACGGTGTTCAGCTGACGATCATTTTTTAAAATCTTAGACCGCTTTTATTCTTAATCTATTTTAACGATCTCCTTGATGAAATCTCCTACGGGAAGCCATTCCTTTTCGCTGATGATGTTAAAATTGTCTATTGTTCCGCCCCTGGACAATGTAGTCCTAAATTAGTCGGTATTCAGTCTGACTTGTCCGCACTGGAGTAACTGCTGGAAGTTGCACTTTGCCACTGACAACAGTAATCTATTGTACCACGGCTGTGGCCCTTCTCTGAACATCCTTACATTAAACGATACCCCTATTCCTGTGTGTGGCGCAGTCTGAGACCTTGGTCTAAGATATTCTGTCTCATTTAACTTTTTAGAGCATGTTATATTCTTACAGGCTTCTGCCAGAAAAGTGATCGCCTACATATGTCGAACTTTATTTTGAGGGATTCCAGGCTTCAAGCCTTTAAAATATGTGTTAGGCCGAAGCTTGAGTACTGTACAATAGTGCATAGTAATCTGAGAAAAGTGGAGATCATAGCACTATAAAACATTCAACGATCATTCACAAAGAGGTTTTTGAACATGCCTAATACTATGACATACAGTGAGCGTTGCGAGGCGTTAAATCTGGAGCCGCTATGGCTATGCAGTTAAACTAAATCTGTGCCTTCTATACCGCTTACTATTCGGGTTAAGCTTCATTGCTCAGCCACAACTCGAGTTTCAGACTCATATGCGCTATGAACTAAGAAACAGCGAGTGCACAGTGAAAATCCCAAAGTCTCGCACAAAGCTCAGCCCAAATTTTTTCTCCGTAAAAGATGCGTTAATATGGAATAAACTTCCATTGATTAGTAGAAACTGCACTACCTATCCGCAATACAGAAGCTTGATTAATAATCATCGAACTGCTGCAAATATCTGGTCAACACTAAGCCAAACGGTGACTCTAGATGATTTGTATGAGAAAGGTCCTGGATACATATGAAATTCGCCATATCCTCTATTCGTTTCAATATTATAAGATTACCTACATATAGTTAAATTCTTGGGTATGTATTTATAAATGATCTTACTTCTATCACTCCGTCTAACCAATCCTGTTTTCTCCTTTGACGCACTGGTTCCTAGCTGCAGTACGCCTTTCAAGCTGATATCTCCGTACCATCGTCGTCACTCGCAAAGACTTTTCATCAAATTGTGATTGGCCTATCGACAAGCGTTTGGATTCATTATTATGTTTCTTATTTCCTCATTATCTTCTTCGTTGTTTCATTGTTGATCATGACTGGGCTGATCTCTTGTGGTGACGGATTACAGCTTCCAAAATAAAAAGTATACCCATGCAAATCATATTACTACAGACTCGCTGGCTTAAAACAAAAAATTGTGCCATACTTGATTGATCCGCATGACAGAACGGGCTGAGGCTTCATCGCCTATCATGTATGCATAAAACAGCCCTAAAAAAAGACATTTGATACCCAGTCTGATGGCTTATTTACTATCTTGCCACACAGACACAGAGCCAATTGGAGCATGGAAGTGCAGGTGAAACCCATCGTGGAAATACCCTGCATGGAAGCAAGTCCCCTGGGCACAGTTTCATGGATGACCGTATTATCTTACTTTGCACTTTCCGTGAAATCTACATTTATTATTGTTCCTAGTTTCTTAATCTCTACTATTTTCAAACTGCTAATCACTTTAAAAACCCATGTGGAAATCACCGAACAAAACACGTAAAATTAACTATATTATGCGATCACGTTGTACTTGTCGATAAGACCACCCAATTGGTCTGTGCCTCGCACTGTCGAGGAATAAAACGTTTGTTTATTTATTTGTGTATTAGAGTAGTAAGTGGTCAGTGCCCCTATAGCTGATCACATTGCCTTTGACACGGCGCTGTACTGTGGTATTTGATGGAGAACCAAGTGATAAGTCCAGAACTCCCCACCCTCTGAGACGCTGCTGTTGGTGGTCCGCGACTGCTCCTCCATCTCACCAGAAAAGTAGACGAGGCTTATTCGTAATTACCTCCGAAAGGAAAGTATTCCCCATCCGCAACCTGAGGACGCGGCCGATAGCGTACAGCCCTGTCTTCACACCACGTCTGGTATTTGTTTATCGCCCTTTCGTTATAATGTTGCGTGACGGAGTTGTCCAGTACCGCGTATTTTATTCATCTTTACATTGGTAAGTATATTAGGTTTTAGAAGGTTGAGTTTGATGGCGCTGTCTTGACCCAGATGTCCCAGACAGCGCTGACTACACATCTACGACTAGTTATTCATCGCAGCTAACCCACCATGCACAGCGTAACTTGAAGACGTTCGCTTCAGAGTCAGGAGTAGACTTCATCCCTTCAATGTGTAAGGTTCTCATGCAAGGGTATCTGTCCCTACTTCCACTTCTCAGGCTACTCTTTGGAAATAGTTGACGCCGAACTGTCAGATTGACTGGCGTATTGATTAAGTGCACGTGAGCAAGAGTTTCGAATCGTAAAAGGGCCATGGCATGGGCTAGCCGGCGAGCGTGCCGTGGTGGGTGATGTACTTGAAAGCATGACTTCACAAAATTATGGGCATTTGCGGTAGTAAACACCTTAAAGACCAGAGCGAACACAGTAGTTTACCGGCCAGTGAGGTCACTAACAAACATATTCCATTTGAGAAAGCCACTGGTTACCCATATTTCTCTGACACCAGTTCGCAAGATGTTCGCAGTGGGAGCGCTTTGACAGGAAGTACTAAGCACCGGAGCTCCGACCAAAGTTGCTTTTCTGGTGTCCTTCAGCGTAACGTCACGCCCTGCAATAAAGGACAGCCAGATGAGTACCTAGACACTGTAACTGCGGACTCAAATTGCCCCGATAAGTTCATCGCGTTCACGCGGTCCGGAGGAAATATAGATGATTTAATCGCCAACAATGCACCCCCAGCAGGATGGAACGACATTTTATTACAGAAATACCCCGTAACCTGCAAAGCGATCAAGGTGGGGGGAGACCGAAGCATATATCGAGCGGTGATACATGTGAATGATGAGGAACTATCTACCAAAAGGCATTTTCTGGCATTTCATCAAATCCTGATCCATCGGATGGAACCAGCCGAGTTTATCAATTGGTGCAAGCAGCATGAAATGTACAACACCGTTACAGACTACATCGCCCTATACGTGGCATCCAGATTCCACGGTCACGGTAGTGCTTGTCTTCGTGGCCTAGCCAGAGATCGCAATGCGATCAAAGTCGACATCACGGATAGGTTTTTCGCACCCAACGGCGTATTCAGAGCCATTGTGTTTCACGCACACACTTTGGCGGACGTTCGTCGCCTTGTTAACAGTTATCTGCAACGGTTGACGCCTTCGGCCCGCCGAAGCGCCAGATGTGGCTTTCCTGAAAACGTGCTTGAAATGTACGATGGAGATTTAAGACGCAACACTAACCAGATGGTCAAAACATAAATTTTGGTTCAAAAGCGTGTTCCATTGAGTTGTACAATTTGCGTTCATTTGGTTTTGTACCAGGATTTCAAATTATATTTAGCGTGTTGTCTCACAACCACTGAAGTATAACTTGCATCACTTCCTTTTATATCACACTCTTTCGATCGGCTGACAAACAAGATGAGGTCCATAAGAAGAACCTAATGTTAAACGGCGGGAATAATGTGGTTTCCAGTATTCTACACAGTTCCGGCTCGTCGTTTCAGGTACCTAGGTCATAATTTTTAAATTAAGGAAGCTCTGGCATCTAGTCTGAAATCAACCTAATTGCACTGCTTCAGATGGAGGATAAAGCAAACTAGGTCTTAGGATAAGTGCACGCAAGTGCACTCACAGTCTGTGTACAGATATCGTGCCATCGAAACCATGGCGGAATAGGAAAACGGAGTTAGATTAAATGAAGAAAGAAAACAAACAAATGAGATATTCTGCTGTTTTTTGATTGGGGGTGTGAAGGGGATGATCCATTCATGGTTCGTCAGTGGGCGAGATATTACCCGGTTGCCTAGGTCGAAGTAGAGTGTTGTCAGTGTGTGTGTTTGTGTGTGTGATCTCAGCAGTCTAACAACTAAACACAGAGCCAACAGTAAACCATGGAGATCAGAGGATATGGGAGAGTCATCGCGTCATAATCATCGTGGTACAGTAGTCGAAGGTGAGCAACACACTTCAGCTAATAAGCCGCAGGAAGAAAGGAAGATTTTGACAAAAACGAGAACAAAACATTTTAGTTTGTTCTGCAAACGTCGATTTTTCCCTTTTTGTCATTTTCAATGTTTGAAGTATTAAACATGTGAATCAATACAATAGTGTACACAATTCTTCCACTGATTCTGGTTGCGGGCCATATCTTCAAGAGTGTTAAGCCATTGGCACTCCTCACCTTTGGGTCCCCATCCTGTAAGACGTACGGATCCAACAGCGGCTAGACATGAGGTCAACGATTTCATGTGCTGCAGCCAAGTGGAAGGCTGACCACCACGCGGTCGCCTCCAGCCAAGCCCTTGATGAGCGAATAGAGCTCGACGCGGTAGACGCTCTGATGCCATGTGTAGAACGTGATCGGCCATCTCAACTGGCGCAGCAAAACCAGTTTGTTGAAGGGTATACTCGCATTCTCCAAGATGCGACGTCAAACGTCATTACCATTGACTCGATGTTGTCACCAAACACGAGCGATCCTCCTTAAGCAACCGTTATCGAAGGCAGAAAAACCACGTGTCTTCCAAGCGAAACGGCCAAGACTCGCACTCATACAACAGTACTGAGCGAACCGATGCACTGGAAAAGCGGCCCCTTAACGAGAACGAGGCATCGCGACGACACCACAAGTGCCTCAGATTGACAAATGCTAATCAAGCTATAGCGATGCAAAGAGAAACTTCTTTGTTAATAGTGCCGTCAGCAGAAACCCAGCTCCCAAGGTAGACGAAACTATCTACCTGTTCAACTTGTGCACCTTCGAGAGTGAGCACGGAAGCAGGTGAAAGCCAATCCTTAAGCAGTACTTTACACTTCGATGGGGCGAAACTCATGCCATACTTAGATGCTTCAACCGCCAAGCGATCCAGAATGAGTTGCATACCCTGAGGATCGTCACCAAGTAAGGCGATATCATCAGCATAATCTAAGTCGGTCGCGCGTTCACCCGGTAGAAGCTAGGCCAAAATGTTGGAAACCTTCTAGGGCATTCGACAGAACAGCTTCAGTTGCGAAGTTGAAGAGGAATGGGAACATAGGGCAGCCCTGTCGCACACCGCTATTGACAGCGAATTGCGAGGAAAGCTTGGCATCGACCCTCACTTTACCGGATGTATGAAAGTAAAGTGCTCGTAAGATGGCGGTATATTGCTCTGGCACCCCCTTCTTTAGCAAGCAACGCTATAAAGCAGGTCGATCAACGGAGTCAAAAGCGGCACGTATGTTTAGGAATGCAACGATGGTGGGACTGTGATAAATGTGGCGATGTTCGAGGAGCTAGCAGAGCGTGAAGATTTGATCCACACATCCGCGGCCAGGACGGAAACCAGCTTGTTCTTCATAGTATTATGATTCACGTATTGGGCATAGTCTGCGAAGCAGAATGGATGCCAATAGCTTGGAGGCAACCGAAATAAGACTGATCCCGCGATGATTTACACATGAATTGAATGCCTTTCGTGAAAATTGGGACAATAACTGACACGCCCCAAGAGGAAGGCACTCTCACTTCATGCCAGATTTTTGCGAACAGCGCGGCCAGTCGCCACACTGCCGTACTTGAACAGCTCCGGAGAGAGTCCGTCTGAGCCTGCAGTCTTGAGCTGCTTCAAGCGTCGAATCTCGAGGCAGACTTCCGCTTCGCTGGGTGGATTCAGTGGGACGAACCAAGGTGGACAGCAAAGTGTACTGCATGTACTGATGGGTGGTGGAGGCCATTGAACTGCGAGTGAAATTGCTCGGCCCAGCGGTCCATAAGCCTCTGTTGGTTGGTAATCGGAGACTCATCCACCTCACAAATGACCTCACTCACACCAGGCTTCCTGGGGCTATTGGACCGAATGAGTTGGAAAAGCCTGTGAGTGCTGAAAGAGGACAGCGGTCTCCATCTCTAAAGCACGCTCAGACCATTACATCTCGTGATCCTTGAGTAGGCTTTGCTTGGGCAGCCGGTTGGAAGAACAGCGTCGATCGCTGCAATCTGATTCCGCCGGGATACCTTTACGGCCTTCGAACAGCTCCATAGAACGAGCAGAGATCCAAGCCTTCAAGGGCCATCGAGTTAGGCCGCAGCTTGACTGTCCGGAAATGGTCATCGATTTCCGTATACAAGTCCAGTGTTGTTCCACTTCTTGCGGTGGATTGCAATTGAGTGCATATGCCAGTGAAGACTGAAATCTCGCCCGGATAGAGGAATCAGTTAATCCGTTCATATCAATCTTGCAGTGCTTCGTGTTTCAGGACCCCCAAAACTTACAGATTTCGCGCAGACCAGTGCATGATCTGAGTCAACGAAGGTGGACCAAGAGTACCTGCAGTCCAGTACGCCGTTGCGCTATCTGAAGTTAATTGCAATGTGATCAATTTGAGACCACGGCGGTGTTGGCGAAAGGGGACGCCACGTTGCAGAACGCTTCTTCGTACGCCTGAAGTTAGTGTTCGAGAGAAACAGATGATTGTCTTCGCACAATCTGAGAAGTCTCTCTCCGTTATCAGAGCGGTTCTCATCGAGCATGTGGTGACCACCAAGGTGGCATTCGTATGGTAACAGGCGGCCAACCCGTGTATTAAAATCCCCAACAAGGATAACGACATTCGACTTTTTAGCATTAGTCAAGAGTTGATGTAGATCCCGGTAGAATTCGTCCTTGACCGAGTCGCCACTGCAGTCAGTTGGAGTGTACAAGGAGACCACAAACGAGCTGTGTCTCTCTTCGCGGCGCTTGTTGGTTCCACATGAACCCCGAAGCCGAACTGCACATAGTCGGCTGTTAATCGGGAACCAGTCCAGTAGTGCCGCCTCGACCTTGCCACTTGGTGCTATACCTACACCAGCCAAACCCGCTGAGTCTGCTTCTGGATCTCCAGAAAGACGCAGGTGATATATGGCTTCGTGGTCACTTGAGGATGTCAACGTAAGCACCGTGCTGGGATCTTGCAACCGGGTTTCTGAAAGGCCGCAGACATCAATGTCTAGGGACTCTAGGGTACGCACTAAACCGGATGGCTGCTCAACCTGCATGAGTGTCCGGACGTTGAAGCACACCAGACGGAACGAGGATCGGGGACGAAGTAGAGCCATAGGTTGAACTTCTTGGTCCGCGGCGTAACCGGAATCGCAGCCAGATTGTTGAACACGTGAATCGGGTAACGGAAAGTGAGGATTGTTAGCAAACGAACAATTGGCGTGTGATGGAGTCGCGTGAAGCCGAGAAGCAGAAAGAGTAGCTAATGAGCACGTTGTAGTACAGTCCATGCCTTAGGGGGCCCCACCCCGAGCCTTTGATCCAGGATCTAACCTACAAGGCAGCAGGGCGAAACGAGGGTATGGCAACTCGTTGGGAGCCGGAGACCAAACAAGTGGTTCATACGCCTTTAGGATCGCATTGGACCAGTGGTCCAACACACACTTGAATTACAATGCCACTCAGAGAGAGGCAAAAGGCAGTGAGTTTATTTAGTGGCGGGTCACATCCGACACGTCACAGCGTTATTAAACGGACATATGTGGTTTTTCATAGGGAGAACGCTTGCCAGGCGAAAACGCGCCACGTCCTGGAACACTGCCGCCGAACCATTCGCTGAAGCGGGATAATCTCGAACCACCCAGCTAACACCAAGAGAAGGTTGTTCGGCAAACCAGCCGGTTGTGTAGCTTAATAATCCAGGAGCACAAAACATTAAACTGGTCTTCGATGAGAATCCATTTGGCATGAAAACGACACTCAGTCCTGTATCTCTTCAGTAGATATGACCCATGATTATATTTTCAGTGGTACGGCTGAGATTCGCAACAGAGTTTCCACGACCATGCTATTCGAACTGTGGACCTGACCGATTGTCAACGGTGCATACGGAAGGTCGCTCTGTAAGCTGGTCATTCAGCCTTGAGCTGTAACTCAGGTGACTGCTGTAGTTTGTAATCACTTACCACAGTTGTGCTTTGACAGGATGTACTAAGCACCGGATCTCCGACCTAAGGTGCTTTTCTAGTGTCCTTCAGTGTAATGGTGCAGCCTGCAATAAACGGGAGACAAATGAAGACATAGGCACTGCAACATTTGTCTCCTCTTGCACGGCCTGGGCAACCTGGAAGCTCACTGCCACGCAACACATGAACCTAAGTAACCTTACCCTAACTATCTCTTTTCCTCCATTTATATACATATATGTGTGTGTGTGTTCGATTAGACAATAATAAATGATGCGCTTGATCAGCCCTGCCCACATTGGTGTCTGTTGCGCGCCATAACCTCCAGCGTTTCCAACCACTGGCAGTCTGAATAGCGTGGTACCAATCCTGGAAGGCGGACCGGTTCAATGGATGCCAAGCTTGAGGTTTCCTTCTTCCTACACTTTTTCCACGTCATGGGTTGCCCACCGCGACAC